TCCTCCTGATGTAAAGTGGAGTTTTCCGGGTTGCTGGGCTCATTCAGAACCTCCTCCTCTTTAGACAAGCTGCATTGTGTGAGATCTGGACAAAAAGAAAACAAAAGCTTCAAAATGTGAATCAATGAACCCTTCACTTTCATTAACAAAAGCTAAAATAAAAACAGTCTTCAGCAAACATGTGCGAGTCCATAAAATAATAAAATCTCTGCCATAGTTCGTCTTTTGGAGCAGAAACATTTGGTTTAAATATTTACTATTTTACAACAAGTTACTGTGTGGTTATAATATAATAATCACCATTATATTCTGTGATAATCTATATTTCTGTAATATTCATAATAATTGTCCTTTCCTCTTTTTTGTTTTTGTTTGTTAAAACGGTGGAGTACTCCCTAAATAATCCAGAAATTGATTATTTTAGTTTATTAGCAATATCAGAAATTGTGGAGTACGCACTATTCAGATCAATATTATACAGCCCAGAAATGGAATCAGAATTAGAATTAGAATAACTATGAACTTGGAATCCAGAAATAATTAACAGGAACAGTCACTGCTTAGTTTATATTACTTTTAACCCAGAAAAGGATTTAGATCAGTCATTCTTTAGCTTATTTTATCAGAAACTGTAGAGTACTCAGTATTTAGAAATGGAGTTGGATACTCAGCAACGCTGAATAGGAGCACTTAGTTTACATACCTTAGAACATTAGATTAGTTTCCTTTCCTCTTTTTTTCCCCTTGGTATGTTATGTTGTTTGCATTTCCTTTTAGCTCATGTAAAGCACTTTGAATTGCCTTGTTGCTGAAAATGTGCTATATAAATAAAATTACCTCAGCTCATTAAAAATTATAGTATAACTTGGTGCATCTTATAACATTCACCAGGAAGGTTTATACAGGTGGTAAAGACTATTATCTATATGCAATTCTTTCACTCTCTCAAAAGTAAGAACTCTCAAATCTTCCGTTTTTGTTTTGAAGGTTTCATAAAGACCCAATGTGAGGAAAAAGAGGGAGATATTTTAAAAAGGGAGACGGATTCACCTCACATCGGACTCAATCTCAGCTGCTGAATCATTCTGAAGCAAGAATGTCTGTGTGTTTTATTGTTTTTTGTTTTCATATTTCCAGCCGATGAATTGTATTGCAGCAATACAATTCAAAAATACTTCATAAAATTCTTAGTAAATATAGCTTTGATAGCCGTTTGAATAAAGTTTCTAGTAAAAAAAAAGAAAAAAAAAGAAGTGTATTATAATCGATTAAATGCGCCGATACTTTATTGTGCCTGCCAAACATACAACACTGAGTGGAGAGGACGACCGCTCCAAGATGGCCGCCCTAAATCTCATCAGCTACAATAGGCAAGAGCGGTCCATGTATGAGGTTCCATTTTTGTCAAAAATTAGTAGAAGTCATAAGTGTAGATGTCGATCTATGTTGCATAGGTCTATGTTGCATACGAGTTTGCTGCACATGTAGTTCATTTCGTTGGTCCGCGTTGCTATTGCCTGTTCTCGTCGCCATTAAAAGTCTTGAAGTAGGTCATGTGTGATCAAAGAGTTTATTAAATATTACAAAAATGTTGGTCTTTCAATACCAGTGGTTTCAAAATACTTAGATTTCTACCTCGTAGTGTCTTCAGGCATTAGTCAGGGCAGCTAACGAGGTTGACGGGTGCTATGCGCAGCCTTCCGTTTTTATTTTCTTTTTAAATCTGTGATATCTTCACCTTTAGGAAGGAGTTTCACTTTCAGAAAGTATTTCAACTTCTCATTTACTTCAACGCAACTCAGTTTTTAACAAATTCTGTAGTTTTTGGTGTACCTCTAAATCTGCTCCTTACTCGCATCTTCTTGGGCCTGCTACTGCCTCTAGTGGCGTGGGGTGGTAACACAACTACTATAATTACTAATTCAGAATATCACAAAGTCTATTATTAATTCTGGCATTACTGGAAGAGTAAAGAATAAATCCCCTCACAAAAGAACATACCTTTTCATTTTCTTAAGGAAGTAGAGCTAATTAAATGAGATAAACAAGAACTGAAAGTGATTCCAGTTTCACTTGATGGCCAACCTGTTGAAACTGTGGCAAAGTTTCAATTCCTTGTGTCATTCCTGGACAGTCAGCTCAACTTTGCTGAAAACACTGACTATATATTTAAGAAATGTTCTCAAAGACTCAATATTTTAAGAAGACTAGCTTGAAGATTTGTACAACCTTAGCTCGAGGTTGTTAAAACTTAACATTTTAACTTGAGTTTTAAATAATCTCAAGTTAAAACAACATTTTAACTCAAGTTTTAACTTTTCATCTCCTCAGTTGGTTTGGTCACATGAGCTGCAGACAAACAATCTTTTAAGAATATTTTGAATGGCAGGTATAACAGCAGGTAAATAATGGTGAAACCAAAAACATCTCTGTCTCAACTGTTTCCTACTAGGCCAGGACCCCTCCACCTCGTTAGCTGCCAAAACTAATGCACAAAGATACTATGAGGTAGAAATCTAAGTATTTTGAAACCACTTTTATTGAAACCACTGATATTGAAAGACCAACATTTTTGTAAAATCTAATAAACCCTTTGATCAGACATGACCTACTCCAAGACTTTTTAATGGCGAAGAGAACAAGCAATAGCAACACGGGCCAAGGACATGAACGACATATGCAACATAAACCTGGAAGTAGTGATGGACTCTGACCTGAACCTTCAGAGCCACATAAAGACAGTCACAAAGTCGGCCTTCTATCACCTGAAGAACATGTCCAGGATTAGAGGACTAATGTCTCAGTGCGATCTAGAGAAAATCATCCATGTGTTTATCTTTAGTTGCATTGATTACTGCAGCAGCGTCTTCACAGGTCTGACTAATTAATCAAACAGCTGCAGCTGATCCAGATGCTGCTGTTCTGACTAAAAATTAAAAGGGGTGCAGTTTTTAATTATTTTTTCATTTTTATTTATTTTATTTGACTGTTTATTACTTTGTGTTTTTGTTTTTAATGATGTAAAGCACTTTGAAATGCCTTGCTCCTGAAATGTGCTATACAAATAAAATTGGACTGATTGACATATGCAACATAGACCATAGACATCTACACATATGACTTCTACTTATTTTTGACACAAATGGAACCTCATATCCAGGAGGCGTCTATTCTTTTATTATGTCTATGGGCTCATCAGTAAAACCTGAAGGTGTTTCGTACCTATTCGGTGTAAGACGATCTTCGGTATCCGGGTGAAATCCAG